CCGAAACTGATCTCCGGCAACGGCCACAACATCCCGCACACCCTCCCCTGGCTCGCCTACCAATCCTGGACAGAGCTCTACGGCCCCATCGTCACATTCCGGATCTACACCAAACGGTTCCTCGTGCTCAACGCCGCGAAGCCAACACTCGACTTGTTAGATGGACGGAGTGCGGTGTATAGCGAGCGGCCGGAGAGCACGATGTTGAGCGAGCTGGCTGGGAGGAAGTGGAGCCCGACGTTGATCAATGCGAGTAATCCGCGGTTTAGGACATATAGGCGGTTATTCCACTCTGGTCTTGCGCCGAGGGCCACGAGGACGTATTTCTCGAGCATCGAGCGGGAGAGCGAGCAGCTGCTACGTGGACTGGCGAGGCTGAGCAGGGAGGAGGACGGCGGAGGGAAAGGCGCGTTCGTCAAGTTGTTGAGGAGGAACGCCGGAGCGGTGATCTTGAGAGCGACGTACGGCTGGGAAGTCAAGTCCGACGATGACGAACTCGTGAAAGCCATCGAGAAGGCGTTCGAGCTCGGCGCCGTGCTCGTGGGCAAACCGTGGATGGTCGACATCATACCCGCGCTACGTTTCGTGCCCGAATGGGCGCCCTTCGCGTCGTTCCAGACGCGGGCGCGGCAGTTCCGCGAGCAGACGCTCAAAGTCGGGACTATCCCGTTGGCATTTACGAAGGAACATGCGGCCTCGGGAACGGGGATCGAGTGCTTTGCGAGCAAGTTGTTGGCGGAGGATATTGAGGGGGAGAGGAACGAGGAGAAGGAGTCGATCATCAAGGAGGTCTGCAGCTCACTGTACTCGGGCGGCGCTGACACCGTGAGTTTAACCTTTCCTTCTCTTCATGCTACTTGCGCTGACGCGTAATATTCCTGCAGACCGTTTCCGGCCTAACATCCTTCATCCTCCTCATGACCCTCCACCCCTCCATCCAAACCCGCATCCAAACCGAACTCGACACAATTATCGGCACCTCCCGCCTCCCCCTTTGCACCGACACACCGAACCTGCCCTACCTCCAAGCCGTGTTCAAAGAAGTCCTTCGCTGGGCGCCTCCCGCGCGCATATGCGTACCGCACGTACTGAAGGAGGACGATGTGTACGCCGGGTATAGGATCCCGAAGGGGACAACCGTTATTGCGAATATCCATGCGATTATGCGCGATGAGAAGGATTGGGCTGATCCGGAGATGTTCGATCCTGAACGGTTCTTTGGGAAGGAGGAGGGTAGTGTGCCGGACCCGAGGAAGTTCGCGTTTGGATTCGGGAGGCGTATATGTCCCGGTATGTCCTCTTCCTTGCCTCTCGTGAAGCTGGACTAGGATCTGACCATTTGATAGGCGCGCACTTTGCCGAGCAGAGCATGCTGCTTAATATGGCAAGGATCATGGCTGTGTTCAGGATTGAGAAGGCGCGCGGGCCGGATGGAGAGGTTGTTGAGCCTACGGTTGAGTGGACGACGAACATCGTGAGGTGTGTTCGGGTTCTTCGCACAGTGTGATAGCGTGCTGAATCCCTGAATAGTCATGCGAAGCCGTTCGAGTGTCGGTTTGTACCTAGATCTGAGGAAGCGCTCGCGCTCCTTGCTGAGGAATGATTGTGCGTTATGCAAACAGGACCTTTCCGTAGTCAGCTAGTACGTCCAACGCGCTTGAGCCCACGCTCAGACCCTAAGCTGACTCGCACTGCGATAGGCTTACCCCTCGTACTTTACAAGACGGATGTAAACGAACGTGAACTTAATGTTCATGGCTGCTTTTATTCGACCTACACCCGCCCCCTCGATAACGACTCTAGCGAGGTGTACGGAGGTGCCGAACTGAATGGACCACTGCCCGTGCTCTCCTTGCAAGACTTTCATTCATATTGTGGCGTCCGCATTTTCTCAATTTGCGCCCACCTTTGACAGCCTGGGAGGCCGCTCAGCGAGTCCTTCTCCTGCCGTGATCCGAGGGAGCGCCCGCGCGGAGGACGCTGCTGATGCTACTGCACTCCCCCTTCGACAGTACATATGCGTTTCGCGTTTTCTCTCTTCGACTTCACGTCTCTTCGTTGCTACTCCCCGGCGACAGGAAGTACAATCCCATCTCTGAGCTCAAAAGGCGCTTGCGTCGGCTGTGCCGAGTGAAAGAGTTACTTACTGATGGAAAGCGAACTGTATTGGAACCCAAGTACGCTGGTCAGCGTGTACTGTAGCACCATGTGCTTTGACCCTTCATCTTCTCAGGTCCCGCGTGTAGATTTGGTGAGCACATCCCCACATTGTGCTGGACAAGCTAACTGATATGCGACTCCGCCCAGGTTGTCGCATCCGATGCGCTTGTACGCCGTGATTGAACATGCGTTAGGCGTGGGAAGAACCTCGAACGTACTTTCCGGATTTGGGACTTATCAAGGCGCCGAGGCCCATTCGCCGCCCAATGGCCTCGATGCGCCCCCCAACGCGTTGTTCCCGCAAGCTCGTGAATCGTGCATTGACTACGAGCGTCGCTTTGGTAACGGTGAGCCTTTATGTTGCGTGTGATTAGGCGGCATCTGACACTCACTCATCCGCAGGTCAACATGTTTTGGCGCAGGAACCAGTCGTAACGGCGAGTCAGTATGGCCTGCCACCCTTTCAGGTGGGCGCGACGCCCTTCATTGCTATTAGATCGTTTGTAGGACTGTAGGGCGCTTGGGTGTGATATGCGTCTTTGGACGCGGTTCATGACCTCTTATAGGTACCAGTCCAAAAACGGAGATTCACATATGAGATGTTCATCTGGCCTTCAACCCTAGAGATGGGGTGTCCCCTCGCACAAGAAAGACGGGAGACAGAGATGCTCCGCAAGTTGGGCCAAAACGTCTGATGGCCCGCGTCGAGCTGTGACTGATCGCGTGGATTCGTGATTGTTCGTGTCCGGTCACGCCAGCCATCTCGTTGTGTCTTTGATCCCGCCTCGACGTTGAACTGCGTTGATGCCTTAGACGTGTATACTATTCGATAGTGGTATACATATATAGGAGCTGCTCGGCCAGCGGATCTGTGCCATTGTATCATTGTCATCACATCATTCGATTTGGTCGTGGTTTGAAGCGTATCATGAAGTAACTTGCCGTCGTTTACGCTTGAGAACCTTGTCAGACTTGCCATCGAACTCGATGAAGGGCTAAAGATAGACAATAAGCAACCAATAAGATACGGTAAGCGATCAAAATGAAGATACACGCGTAGTAGACTGTCATTTCCTCCTCTGGTGACCGAAAGGTGGTTCTCGCGTCAGCGAGATCGCCTCACCTGGTGAATCACTAGGAGAATGGTGGTTATTCTAGCAAGAAACGAGGCGCGAGTTCGGACTTTCAATGCCACCCGGAAGCCGGAACGGATGCGTGATCAAACTCGGTGCCCGTGATCAGTTCGTCCTCTGTCTCTTACCACCACCGTCCCCCAACCGACGTCCTCTGAACCATCCCTACCTATATCACACACTAGCCACTCTCAGAACATTCAACATGTCTGACGACCCAGACTTTCTGCGCAACTTGGATCCTCGTCTTCATCCTCAGGCGTCGGATGCAAACCACGTATGTATTGTTCATGACATTGTCTATGTACATCCGTGGCTAACACAGTATGACACAGATAAACAACTCTACTCAATCATACATCCTCAACGACAGCCACCCCACGGTGGCATCGTCGGGAGAGCCCTTCGGCCACCCCGTCGAGGTCGGTGGCGCCACCGCCTCAATGGCCTGCATCGATACTGAGGAATCTGCTCAGGCTCAGAGCACCATGCATGCCGGCATGGAGCCTCCTCCCGCATACCCAACAGTATCCAGCGCGAGTGCCCATATGGTCTACCAGTCCCCGGCGTCGTTGAACACGGGCAACCACAGCACCCTAATCGAAAGAGCGGGCCCGGACCGTTCTCCGCCTGGCGTTTCCCATACACCACCGATCTTCAGCGACGCGTCGGGCACCGGATCGCCAGTTCTGCCCCCCTTCATGGTTCTCTGGGACTGGATGGAGAGTGAGGTACTTCCGCACTTGCCGCAGGAGGAGCGCAATGACTTTCACCGTCGTCTTGAGCAATGTGCGTTATACCCGTTCGCGTACATGTCAAACATGCTCATCTTGAATGCATACAGACGATTTCCGCCCGCCTTCGGATTTCATTGTGAGCGCCATCGGCAGGGGTTTAGAC